AATTTTTGATCATTTTACTTTATTTTTTCTGGGATATGAAAGACACTTTAAAAGTATATTTTTTACAACTTAGATCATGTAATTTGGTTAAGTATTAGTTGAGTTATGATAGATTTTGTATTTGAGTGTACTTAGTGTGACGAAAATCACGAATCGCGCGTGTGACAATATTTATGAAAATGACAGTAAGATTATACTGATTACTGAAAATACACATTTTGTACTATATCTTACTCAATTTGGACTCATTTCTCACCATTATTGTTAGTATATGAAAAGAAATTCTAAAACTATGGATTTAGCAACTTAGATCACACTTTTTGGTTGAGTTTTGACTGAAACATAGGTTTTTTTTGTGTTTTTGAGCTAAATGTGACAATACTTATGAAAAAGGCAGTACTAGTAATTGATGCAACAGGTACGTTGGTGATGTGTGACACAATGCAACCCAACCAATGCTGCGTGACGGTTGCACTCTCACTCACTCAACACGCAGTGTCTCTCATCCACCATGTCTGCTGCAACTCCAAGCGATCATCAATACGTGGTCTATCTTGCACACGACAGCACATCCAGGCCCCGTCTCATTTCTGTTCCCAAGAATGCATCCGTGCTAGACCTGGAATTCGCTACTCGTCGTGACCCAGACTACCAAGACTACTTGGGGTACAAACCCGTATTCCTTTATAAGGTCTTTCTTCGACGTCTCCTATTCTGTCATTGTGCTGACTGACGATTGAAATTTTTCAGTGTGGTGGTCTTGAGAGGAAGCCGCTCGAATCACTTTATGGCCGTGCCTTAGACTGGCTTCGTGAACACGCAGGTGAGGTTGGAGAAATAACGCCTTTGGATCCTGCAGACCGTCTGAACGAGTATTTCCCTGAGGGACCTACCCCGGAGCATGAGAAGATGGTAGATGTTATTGCTATGGATGGTTCAAGTACGTATTTTGTTCTCTGCCCGTCCACAAGATTTGACCGGTTCACTGCAATTTGGACTAACCTATATGTGCAGCGGTCGCTCCGGCCAAACGGCGCAAACGCTCGCGTCCTAGTTCAGAAGAATCCTCTAAAGCAGGCGGTACGTTAGGACAAATTCGCTGCTGACAAGCACAATCCTTACATACACTTGAAGACAGCATCCTTAGGAAGCTTGGGGAAAATGAAACTGCCATCTGGCACCGACTCGCATTTAATCTACATAATTATTTGTGGGGTCAAAGGGATCGATTGAAAGAGATCTGTGAGCCGAAGGAAAAGGACGTGCCGAAGGTGGGATGGGTCTCAGCTACCTTTTGGAACCTGAGGAACCTGCCGTTCTGGCCGACAGGTGTTACAAGCTTGGACCTGGCAGAGCACTTTATGATCCGAGATGAGTACCGAGAGCTTGACACGTATATCACGGAAAAGTTGGAGAACCCATTCTTCTTGTTGGCCAACCTGGAATAGGTCTGTAGCACATTTTTTTACGTTACCCAGACTCAGGAAGTTAACGTTACAACTAGGCAAAACTGTATACCTGACCTATTGCCTTCTGGGTTGCCTCTTCGAGAAAGAGCCAACAATTTTGATGTTGCGGCCTAACATTCGTTACTTATTCCAGGATGACGGTGTGTACAGTCTTCCAGGAGAGTCGTACGTGTCTACCGATGATAGCGCAATTATACAAGAACCATTGGGGAGGGTACTTGTTCTATATGACTGCAACAGCGATCAGGAGAAAGCGATATTAGCTTGTCCAGGGACAAGAATGCTTATCTCAACATCCCCTAAGAAATCCCGATATCATCGATTTGAAAAGGAGCAAAGAGCGGAAATGTTCGTTATGCAAACGTGGGCATGGTATGAGATTTATTTGTGTTGGTAAGGACCTCTGTTCTGTTTCGCATCTTAGTACTAAGGCATATTTCTAGCGATATGGCTAAACAGCAGCGCTCTTCGAAAGAATTGGCTATAGCATATTGCAAGTATGGAGGGTCAGCACGAAATTTACTTAACGAGGGAGAAGACAAGCTGGAGAGATTGCTGAGGGATGCGATAGACAGCTGCGACAAACTCGACATCATGATTACCCAGCAGAAGACAGTGTCGACAATGGAAAGCAGCCAACTTGTTCAAATCAATCCTAGCTTCAAGGACAACGTATTAAATCGATCATCAATGACTGCATCAGTCATCTCAGTGGCAGTTTTGTGCATGCTCTGTGATGCGAAGGATCGTGAATTCTTGCATCACTTGGAATCAAGATTCCAAAATTTCACAGACTGTTCTGAAATATTTAAAGCATCTGCAGGCATTGCTTTCGAGGCTGCAAGTCATAGATATATTATGGCCAATACAAGGACACCATTTGACATTCGTTCTCTCAGCAATCAGCATATCACCAAGCAGTTACATTTGTCTCACGTGACAGATCTTTGCCTATTCTCCCCGCACGATCCCAAAGCCAGTTTACTGCAGAGTAATCAATACTATAAACCACTTGCTAAAAACTTGCCTGGAATTGATGCGTACGCCTTTGAAATGGACGGTGGCACTATTTGTGGGATTGTATTTTTCCAATTCACAATAACAACCCATCATCCAATAAACCAGAACTTCCTAGACAATCTCTGGACATCTTGGCCAGGTTATTGTCAGCATTGGGAATGGAAGTTGATTTTCGTTGTTCCTGAGGGAATAGCACCCGGTTACAAGGAGCAGCAGTGGCAACCAAATTATAACGAGGATATTTGGAAGAGAAGAGTTTCTCAGTATGTTTTGGGTGTTAATCAACAGCAGCTCTGGGAGGCAATGCAGATGCAGAATGTAACTTAAAATAATTTGTAATTAGTTTGTTGTACTTTTACATACACTTGAAGATGTCTCTAGGTTTGAAAATATTGACTGGCCACAATCTGTACAGAGACAAAAGAAAAGGTGCTGAATAAGGGATCAGTCTTAGTTACTTTTTTTAATCTGACACACCTTCTGTTTGCCCATGCACTGCTTCATGCCATGGATTGGGTCTTGGTGAGTACACAGATCTACCATTAGAGAGTATACTTACGTCAATCCCGATAAGTCACACAATGCCGATGCGCTAGCATTCCTCAGGGACGCACGTA